GTCGCTGCTGTTGTTCCAAGTCAAGGAAGGGGAGAGGACAGAGTAGGATGGGTGCGTGCGTGCATGTGTGTGTGTGTGTGCGTGAGCGTGGGTGTGCGTGTGTGTGTGTGTGTGTATGTGTGTTTGTGTGTGTTGGCTGTGGGGAGCAGCGGGAAGGAGAGCAAGCTGGGTTCACCTCTTGGGAGCCAGGGTGGCTCTCACAGAGCCCTGACCACTCCCCCCTCAAATGTGGCTCTGCCTCCCCCAGTCACCGCCCCCGCCAGGGACTTGAGCTCTTCCCGGGCTTAGGTCAGTCCCGTCACCCCCCTCCCCCCCTTCTGTCCTGGGGCCAGTGCTGGGGTCAGGGGTTTCTGTATAGACAGTCCATAAAAGAACCAGAACTCCCCCCCTCCGTGCCCCTCAGGCCCAGGGAACCAAAACCCCAAATGTGTTTCCTGCTTCAGGGAATCTGCAGGGGTGCAGTCATGCAACGATTCAAGATCTGAAGCCTGAGAACGAAGGCGTGGCCTCAGGGGGCTTCTGCGGGGACCTCCAGATGCCCAGTGGGGCTGCCTCTGTCAGTAGTGATGGGACAGGCGGGATGGGGGGCATGGGACCACCCGGCCCGCAGCCCTGCACTGAGGTGGGGCTTGTGGCCGGGACCCGATCTGTGGGCAGCACCCCTTTTCCGGGTCCTGGTGTTGAGCCTGGAGCTGGTGCAGGGTGGGGGGGTAGGAGGGTGCCCTTTCAGTCCCCCAGGCTGGAGCTGGGGGTCCGCACGGGGGTCTGCTCTTGGCAGGGGTACCGGAACTGATGGGGTGAGGGTATGCGGGTACCGGGAACTGCTACCTGAGGGTGATGGCGGCCCCGTGGGTGGGCACCTGGCGCTTCTCAGGCTGCAGCCCGGAGGGTGGACTCGGCCTCCCCATCTTGGAATCCGGAGCAGCTCAGGGGGCCCCGCGGCCTCCGCTGGTCTGCAGCGAACTAATTTCGTGGCAGAAATCTGACCTGAATTGACGAGAGGCTAATTATGGCCTTTAAAAATAACTCACCGAGGGGCCGAGGGACAGGCCGGCGGGGCACAGCCACCCACCCGGATCCGACCTCCGGATTGATCTCCGAGCACTGAGCCAGGAGTCAGACCTGAGCATGGCCGGGTGTGACCCCCACAACGGAAAGGAAATGAAATGTCTCCGAGGTCCCCTGGCCGTGGGCTTCTTTCCCCCGCGGTTGTGAGTGAATGCCGCCGTCTGGGCCCCCGGCCTTGTCCTCCCGTCTCAGACGTGACAGTCCCTAAGCTCCGGCTGGCCGGCCCCACGCCCCACATGGCCGAGTGACCCCGCCGGTATCCGGTTCTGGCTCTGGACTCGGGAGGCACGAGGACAGAGGACAGTGGCGGCGAGTAAGCAGGGAGCCACTCGGGCCAGAGCTGTAGGACCTGAGATCGCCCTGCACAGGGCCAGTCCGGTGGGTGTCCACACACGGCCAACCCCGGCCCTGCAGAGCCCAGAGTAAGCCTGAGCATCACCGGGCGTGGCCCCCCAAAAGAGCCACCCCCCCCTTCAAGATTCCTTTCCTCTTGCCTCTGCGTCCTGAGAAACGCACCCCCGGTCGCTGGATGCTGACGTCTCTTGCGTTCCTCTCCCCGCCGTGAGACGTCAGGGCCGACCCCTGCACCCAGACTAGAAACTGGGCTTGAGCGCTTGCGGACGGGCCCGTGCGAGTTTGGGGAAGTGCGGTGGGCTTTCTGGCCGCCCCTGCGTGCCTGTCTGGGGAACTGTGTCTAGAGTGGAAGCACATGGGGTGGGACACCCCCGGCCGGGCTCATTTGGTTCAGGTCCTCGGGCCAAGGGCGCTCCGGCTTCTTGTCCTGCCCAGGAGCTGTGGAGGTTTGACTAAGTACATTTCCATCCCCACGTCCCTTCCTGTGAGCTCAGACAAAAGGGTTGGCTCAGGATTTTTTTTTCCCTTTTCCTTTTTTGGGCCACACCCAGCGGTGCTCAGGGCTTACTCCTGGCTCTGTGCTCAGGGTCCACGACTGGGGGGCTGGGGGGGACCCTCTGGGGTGCCGGGGCTTGAACCCATGTGGGCTGCGTGCAAGGCAAATGCCCTACCTGCCGCCTGGTGCCTCTGGCCTACTTCTCAGGATTTGGTTTTGGTTTTGCCCACGTTCTGTGGTGCTGGGCTGGGGGGGCGCATGCGGTGTGAGGGGTGGACCTGCACCTCCCCCCACTCTCCAGTCTGTGACGCCTGTGCTCTGGCCCCGGCTGATCCCTGGGGGTTTTCAAAGCCTTGACACATGACCCCACACTCAGAGGTTTGGGAAGTGTTTTGTGTGTGTGTTTTTGCTTTTTGAGACACACTCAGCGATGCTGAGGGCTCTGCACTCAGGAATCCCTCCTGGCGGTGCTCGGGGGAGCCTATGGGATGCTGGGGATCGAACCTGGTCGGTCACGTGCCAGGCAAGCGCCCTCCCGGCTGGACTATCACTCTGGGCCCGTTTTGGATATTATCTTACTGGGTGGGAAATTGTGTTTGTTGAGTGGGTTCCCAGTCTGGCTGGGGAGGATTTTGCAGGTTGCGAGTCTGTTTTTTGGTGACAGGATCTCAATGACAGGGAAACATCTCCAAACACACTTTTCCAGAATGCTCTGCGTCGCCCCGGCTGCCGCCCGTGGGGAGGGTTTCCCTCGTTCACGCGCGGACATCCTTTCCCCGTGGAGGTCGGGGGTAGACTGCCCGGGAGAGCCTGACAGTGCCTGACAGGACTTTTGGGAACTGCGTCTGGGGACTGGGATGTGGTTGGGCCCAGGCCACATGCCTGAATGCTTGGGGCTTGGGATCGCGCCCCGAGCCGTGTGTTCGCGATGGCCCTCGGCCCCCGGGGAGCAGACCGCCCCTCCTTCCACTGGCCACATCCTTCTGTTGGCCTTGGAGGCCAGAGCGGTGCCGGGGTGGGGGTGGAAACGAGAAGGCAGCGCTGGGGTTCGGCCCAGGCTGTGCGCGTCCACGCGTTCCCGCCCCAAAGGGGTGTCTCTGCAGCGCGGTAGCAAAGCCAGGAAGGGGCGTTGGTTGTGTGCACATGCATGCGTGTACGTGTGTGTGTGTGTTGGTGAGGCAGACTCACCGTAGTGTGTGTACATGTGTGTGCATGTGTGTGTGCGTATGCATGCGTGTGTACATGTATGTGAGTGTGTGTGTGTTGGTGAGGCAGACTCACCGTAGTGTGTGTACATGTATGTGCATGTGTGTGTGCGTATGCATGCGTGTGTACATGTATGTGAGTGCGTGTGTGTGCGTGTGTTGGTGAGGCACAGACTCACCATAGTGTGTGTGTTGGTGAGGCAGACTCGCCGTAGTGTATATGTGTGTGTGCATGTGTGTGTGTGTTGGTGAGGCACACTCTCCGTAGTATGTGTGTTTGTGTGTGTGTGTGCGTGTGTGCATGTGTGTGTGCGCGCGTGGGTTGGTGAGGCACAGACTCACCATAGTGTGCGTGTGTGTGTACGTGTGTTGGTGAAGCACAGACTCCCTGTAGTGTGTGTGTGCGTGTGTGTGTGTGTTGGTGAGGCACACTCTTCGTAGTGTGTATGTGTGTTTGCGTGTGTGTGTGCATGTGTGTGTTGGCGAGGCACAGACGCATGACTGTGCATCTGTTTATCTGCATGTGGTCACTTGACCTCTGTCCAGCTGCAGTCTGTCTGCTGACGGGGACGCCCTCCCTCCCTCCCTCCACTTGCACCTTGTCCCGGCCCCGCCCCCCGCCCGGTGCCCCTATCACCCGCCTGTACATCACCAGAGCCACGAACCGGAGCCTCCAGGCCTCGGGCCATTCTGGGCTTTTGTTCTGGCTTCTGTTTGCTCAGGTGTCCTTATGTTTTGGTGTTTGTGCCTGTCTTTGGGGACACACCCAGCTCTGTTCAGGGACAACTCCCAGCGCAGTGCTCAGGCGACCAGGCAGTGCTAGGAACCAGACTTGGGCCGCACCTCCAGCCCCGGCGGCCTGTTGCACCGCGCTTAAGCTTCCCGGGAAGGCCTCTGGGATCGTGTCGGGTCCTTGCTTGTGTGGTGAGTGTCCTGGTGTTGCTTTGTGTTGGAGCCATATCTGGCGGTGCTCCAGGCTTCCTCCTGGCCCTGTGCTCAGGGATCGCTCCTGGCGGGGATCAAATCCGGGATTGGACTCCAGTGGGCTGTGTGCAGGGCCGACACCTGCCGTCCCCACCATCCCCGCTCTGGGGGAGCCGTTGTGGCCGCTCAGGCCTGGACCTGGGGCTCAGGCTTGCTGGCCCCCGAATCCCAGGCAGTACCGGGCACCTCCCGGCTCAGCCAACAGCCAGGCAGGGCCTTAGGGGCTGGTCTGCCAGGAGGAAGACAGCAGGGGCGCTGACTGCCCAGGGAACTAGGGGCCCTGGGCTCAGAAGTGCTTTATCTGGGCCAGGGCGGGGCAGGGCCAACTGGGACAGCCCCTTGCTGGCCTGGGGGGGTGCAGGCTGCGTACTAAGGGGGTGTCACAGCAACTTCCCCTGCCCTCCCGGAGCTGGGGCGCAGAGCCGGCGTCTTCCAAGGCCTGTGGACATACGGGGCACCATGTGAGGTGGGGGGGTGGTGCCCGCCGGGCATTGAAAGGCTCCGACCCCTTCACCGCCGGCCTCCCCGCAAACTGTGATGGTGTCCCCGCGTCTTGGCAGAGAATGTCACCGGGTGTGGCCGGGCTGAGGCTTCAGGTCAGCGCTGCTATGGGTTAGATCGGCTGGTGTCGATCAGGTCAGCTGGTACTGATCAGCGGGGCTGATGTCGGTCAGCTTAGGGTGGTCTTGGCGGGGGGTGGAGCTGGGCTTTGGCTCGAGGAGGGTCCTGAGCCGTGGGGGTCGGCGTGATGCCAGCCCAGAGTGGGGGGTCCCGTCCTTGGCGCAGGCAGGCAGTTGGGTACTGGGGCGGGGCTGAGGGCGTGCTCTGAGGCTGGTCCACCCGCTGTCCCGGGTCCCTCAACGTGGCCCTTCCCGTTGTCCCCCCCACCGCAGGCCGCTCCCGCTCATCCCGGGGCCTCTCTCAGGGGGGGCTCCCACCGCCGGGCACCATGACGGTGAGGGGGGCCGCGCTGGCCCCCGACCCAGCGTCCCCAACCACCGCGGCCGCCTCGCCCAGCGTCTCGGCCATCCCCGAGGGCAGCCCCACGGCCATGGAGCAGCCCGTGTTCCTGATGACCACTGCGGCGCAGGCCATCTCGGGGGTGTTCGTCTGGACCGCCCTTCTCCTCACCTGCCACCAGGTAACCCTGGGAGGCCGCCGGCCACACCACGGGAACCCCCACACCGGGGGGGGGGTGGGGAACCCCTGCAGGAGGCGCCTCTGCGTCACACTGGGCGGGATCCCCGGGGGCTGGGGCGGGGCGGGGTGCCCACCCCGGGCATCTCCCCCTCTCCACTCTTGCACCTTGGCCAGGGAGCAGGCAGGCATGAGATGCCGGGGTGGGGGGGGCAGTAGCCGGGCGGGCCCAGGGCTCCCGGGAAGGGGGGAAGGGGGGTCCCCTCCCCGCCGCTGACGCCGCCCCCGCCCCCAGATCTACATGCACCTGCGCTGCTACAGCCGCCCCAACGAGCAGCGCTACATCGTCCGCATCCTCTTCATCGTCCCCATCTACGCCTTCGACTCGTGGCTCAGCCTCCTCTTCTTCACCAACGACCAGTACTACGTGTACTTTGGCACCGTGCGGGACTGCTACGAGGGTGAGGAGCGCGCCTGGGGGGCGGGGATGGGGGTTGGGGGGGTGCAGGCCCGGAACCCCCTCCCCGAGCACACCCTCCGCCCGAAGACACCCCTCCAACCCACCCCGCCTGTCCCATCTCAGGCCCCGGGGCGCACAGGCGCCCGCTTGCCTCTCCCGGGGGTCCCCTCCTGGGACTGCCCTGCTGGAGCCTGGCTACGTGACAGGTCCCCTCACCCCGAGCCTGTGAATGGTGACCGCTCCCCGCAAATCCTCCCAACCCCGGGGGCACAGCCGCTGGCCCTGGACTGCATGGAACTCGGGGGGACGGTCCGTCGGGGCTCGCCGGGCACAGGAAATGCCTCTGAACTTGGCGAGGAAGCGCAGGCGTCTGCTGGGGGGTCCACTGTCCCCCCCTTGCCACCACACCAGCCTCTCCAAGAGCCGCATGGCTCCTGCCCCTGTTCCCTGCCCCCGGGGGCACCAGCTCCGGGAGGACACAAGTCCAGGGGGCCAGGCCCAGCTGTCCCCTCTATGGATTTTTCTCTCAGTTTTGGGTCATCCCTGCAGTGCCCAGGCCTGACCCCCTGGCTCTGTGCTCTGGCAGGGGGGGGTCACTCCTCGCGGTCCTTGAGGGACCGTCTGCCTTGTGTCACAGCCACTGGCCGGCTGCTGTCCCGTCTTTCTCTGCAGTTTCTGGCTCAGGCCCTTTGGGGACACATGCTCTGAGCTGGGGAGGTGGGCTGCGGGCGGGAAGCCCAGGGCGTTGTTGGCCCCCGAGCATCACCAGGGCAGCCGTGGTGTCGTCCCCAGCACCACGGGGCCTGAGCAGAGGCCCCGAGCCAGTGACCCGCACGGGCACTCCGAGGACTGCATCTGGCGGGGGTGTGTCATCGTGTCCCCCCACCCCCACCCCACCCTCCCCACCCCCGTCACAGCCTGTGTGCCGTGGCTCTGGGCCCCCGTGAAGCTCAGGCCACAATTGTCCCTGAGCTCTGCTGGTGCCCGCCTGGCCGTGCCCGGGTGTCTGGGAAAGCCACGGGCACCCGCCACCACCGCAGACTAGCCCCTCCCCAGGGCGAGGGTCTGCTGCCTCTCAGCCAGCCTGAAGACGGGGCTTGTGGCAGGAGAGGTCCCGGGCAGCAGCAGATGGTCGGGGTAGGGGTGCGGGGAGGCGGGGACAACCCCCGGAGCCCTCTTTGTGCCGCCCTGACGGTCCCTGGCCCAGGGAGTTCCCGCAGCATGTCCTGCTCCGACGCGTCTCCTAGCAACCCTTTATCCCGCCTCTGTCTCTCCGAGGGGGCTTCGGCAGCTGCCACCTCCCTGTTGGGGTTGGTGGGCTGGCCCTCCACCCGCCCGGGACCCTCCCTCATTGTTCTCCGGCCTCGAGTGCCGGCAGCTGGTGCCCCTGAGGCCGGGTGGTGGCGCCTGGCCCTCAGAATTCAGAAAGAGCCCCCGCCGGCCGCCCTGCCCGCGGCCACCCTGCAGAGTTGGGGGGAGACAGTGCCAACCCTGCCAGGCCCCAGGCACTGCTCCTACCTGGCAGGGCGCTCCTGGCAGTGCCCAGGGGCCCTGCCCACCGCGCTCCGTCCCCTGAACAGGGCAGGAGGACCGGCCACCCGTGGCTGAGCACAGGTCGGCCCCTCTGGTTGGCCCTGCAGCCTCGGTACCCTGGCGGTGGCCCTGCGTGGGGCCTGCGGGCAGCTTGCCCGCCCCCCCACGGGTTCCAGTCTGTGTTTTCCTTCTTAGCGGGACTTGAAACGGCTCCCATCCATTCGACTGCCTGAAGTCCATGGGTGATGTGGTCGCGCCCAGCTCCTCACCGCTCCCGGCTTTTCGGGTGGTTTTGCTTTTTTTTTTTTTTTTTTGGCTTTTTGGGTCACACCCGGCGATGCTCAGGGGTTCCTCCTGGCTCATGCACTCAGGAGTTACCCCTCGCGGTGCTCAGGGGGACCCTATGGGATGCTGGGAATCGAACCCGGCAAGGCAAACGCCCTCCCCGCTGTGCTATGGCTCCATCCCCCCGGTTTTGCTTTTCTAGAACACGTTTCTCTGCCTTCACGGCTCGTTGGTGCCAGCTGTCCACGATGGCCCGGTAGCATGCTGACTAACTTGCTGCCATAGAACGCTTTTCTGGTTTGTGACTCCGAGTCTGCACGCAGGGCTTACTCCTGGCGGTGCTCAGGGGACCACAAGGGGTGCTGCGGATTGAACCTGGGTGGGCCTCAGCCCCCTCCCTGCTGTTCTGTCTCTCCGGCCCAGTAGGATTATTTCCTTATTTCCTTCTGGTTGTTGCCCATGCACACACACACACACACACACGTTTTCTTTCCTTCATCTTCTCGGTGTGGCTGTGATCAGTTGGGCCTCACCCCTGCCTGGGAGGTGCCTCAGCTGAGCCCTTGGCGCTTCTGCCTGGCCCTTGTCACTGTTTCCTCCCAAGAGGTCACAGTCCGCGTTGATGCAGGCTGTCTGCAAAGTCCTGTCCACACACAGCTGGTCCCCAGCCGCTGCCTGTCCTGATGTGTCTCTGTTGGTGGTGGTTTTGGGAGCACAACCCGCAGTGCTCAGGGCTTCCTCCTCCTGGCTCTGGGCGCTGGGACCCTCTGTTGCCTGAGCCACCCCCCACCCCAGTACTGTCCCTCTGGTTGTTGTCTCGGGGCCACACTGGCCGTGCTCCGGGGTCACTTTCCTGTCGGGTCTGGGGCGACCCCTTGTGGGATGCTGTCCTGTCCCCATCCGGGCTGTCTTGCTCTCTGGTTTGCTCTGTTTCCTCTTGAATCATTTGCCCGATGCGTCAGTGGAGGGATGAGCCCCCCGGCGCCACCCCGGCCCCCCACTTCACCTTCTCCCAGAATCCGGGGGTGGGGGTGGTCCCCTGGGAACTCAGACGGAAAGTTGTGAAGCCAGAGGTCGGAGCTGGCCCGTTTCCGGGAGTGGTGTCTGTGTGGGAACCCCAGGGGCATGCCTGGTATGAGCACCTATGCGGCAGGTACCTGGTATCACACGCACCCCAGCCCCGCTGGGCCCAGGAGGCGCCACACCGGCGGGTCCGAGCATTGAGGGGCCAACCCAGCTGTCCCCGATCACGGCATTCATGGTCAGGCGTTGGCCGCGGGCATCGGCGGGGCACTCCAGCTTCCAGGGATGCGGGGCCGAGTCTGCGTGCCCATAGGCCAGCAGCCTGGATGGCTGTTCGTGTCCCTGTCCCTGAGAGGCTGGACACAGGCCCCGGCAGAGCCGTAACTGAGGCCCTGACTTGGGGCCTGTGTGTGAGCCCAGAGTGTCCCCTCAGGGGCCCCAGTTCCCCCACCCGACCTCCCGCCCCCCCAGCTCCCCTGTGCGGGGTGGGCCCTGCTCTGAGCGCCCCCTCTGCCTGCAGCCCTGGTCATCTACAACTTCCTGAGCCTGTGCTACGAGTACCTGGGGGGCGAGAGCGCCATCATGTCTGAGATCCGGGGGAAGCCCATCGAGTGAGTCCTCCCCGCCTGCTCCTCCCACCCCTGCCGGCCCCTGCACCCACGGGCGACCTGGGGGGTCCCGGGCTCTTTCTCCCAGGGCCCTTCCCACCTGTCCCCTGCCTGCAGCCCCCGCTGCCCCGTCTCCCAGGCTCCGGGTCCCCCCAGCCCGGCTTCTCCAGATGGGGCCCGTTAACCCCTTCTCCGCCCACCCCCAGGTCCAGCTGCATATACGGCACGTGCTGCCTCTGGGGCAGGACCTACTCCATCGGCTTCCTGCGCTTCTGCAAGCAGGTAGGCGGGTCTCTGGGGGTGTGGCTGTGTCTGTGTGTGTGTGTCTGCATGTCCCTTTGTTTCTGTGTGTGTGTGTGTGTGTGTCTGTGTGTGTGACCGTGTTTGTCTATCAACCATGTGTGTATGTCTGTGTGTGTGTGTCTGTGTGACCCGTGTGTCTGTGTGTAATCATGTGTGTGTGACTGTGTGTGAGATAGTGTATGACTGTGTGTCTGTGTATATATGTGTCTGCGTGTCCGTGTGTGTCTGTGTGTGTTTGTGTCTATGTGCAAGTGTCTGCATCTGTGTTTGTGTCTCTGTGTGTTCCTGTGTGTCTGCATGTGTCTGGTGTCTGTGTGTGTCTGTGTGTGACCATGTGTCGGTGTGACCGTGTGTGTATATGTGTATGTGTCTGTCTGTATGTGTGTGATCGTGTGTTTGTATGACTGTGTGTGTGCGCACATGTTTTCTGGTGCCCCCCCGTTGGCTGAGCATACCAGGGGGTCTTGTTCCCGTGACCCGTGGCCGGTGCATGAGGCCTCTAGGCCTGGGCTGGGGTATTGGCAGTGGCGGAGGCTGGAGACCGCGAGGGTCCCCCGACAGCCTGGTCCATGCAAGTCCAGACTGTCCGGTCCGGGCTGTGCGGCCGCCTGGATCCCTGTCCCTGCTCTCCATACGGTCTCAGGCAGCCTGGGGCTTCCTGGTAGTAGATTGTTTTTCCGCCTTTTCTGGCTGTGTGATCTTGGCCATGTTAATTAACCTCTCTGAGCATTGGTTTTCTCTGGTGTAAGCCTGAGTTCTCCTGGATGTAATGTTACTTCTCCCAGGGGAAGCTGGCCTTGTTGGAAGGCCAGTGAGGTGGTGGAGATGGATGGCATCCCGCCAGGGCCAGAGAGATGAGTGCCACCCGGGCACCACAGGAAGTCACCTCCCCCACGACCGCCCCCCCCCCCAAGCATCCTCCGTTCTCTTCTTGGGGGAGGGATGGACTTGCACCTCTCTGGCGTGGCCTGGACATCTGGGTCCCCTGGGACCTCGTCCCTCTGACTCACCCAGAGTCCCCCCGATGGGATGGAAGCCCTGAGCCAGCACTGTGGTGCCCCTGAGACACCCCCCAACCCTGCAGCACTGCCCAAGGCCTCCTCCCCCAGCTGTCCTACACCCCAACCCCAGGGACTGTGAAGAGCCTTAAGGCTCTGGGTTCCGGCAGGCCACAGGCTCTCGGCTGGCCTGTGTAGACAAGCGAACCCGGGACCCGGGAGCAGGACTCGAGGGCAGAGGGCAGGTCCCTCGTGTGGCCTCCAGCCTCTCCGGGCCACAGAGGGGCCCCTATGGCCCAGTTTCTGAGGCTCCCGAGCTGTTACCCTCCCCCCGCCCTCCTGTAAGCAGGAGTGATGACAAGCATCGCAGGCGCTCTGAGCACCCTGGAGGTGACCCCTGGCCTCAGCTGTCCCTCAGCGACTCGGTGCTCCCCAAAGGAGCTGTCCCCGCTGTCCCTCCCTGACAGCCCCTCTTTCCCGTGACTGTCCTCACTCCGATCCCTCCAGGGGCAGAATCGTGGCTCTCAGCCCTTTTGGGGTCCCCCGGCTCGGCCTCTCAGCCGCCCCCGGTGTCCCGGCCCCTGTGTGGGATGGCAGAGAGGGTGGCCCTGGAGAGCGGAGCTGTCCTTGTGCCTGGGGCTGCCTCCTGCCCGGCCCTGTGGTCACCCCCACACCCAGGAGGACCCTGCTCAGCGCCAGCCCCCAGCCCCGAGCAGGGAGCCGGCATGGGGGGACCCGGGGGACCGGAGGGGGCGGAGCGCCCGGCCCCGCTGTGTCCCTGAGCTGTGTCCACGGCCCTGCTGGCCTCGCGGCCCGGGCCTCGTCCCCGCACAGGCCACACTGCAGTTCTGCGTGGTGAAGCCACTCATGGCCGTCAGCACCGTGGTCCTTCAGGCCTTCGGCAAGTACCGCGACGGTGACTTTGAGTAAGCAGCGGGTGCGGCCGGAGGAGGGGGCATGTGGCCACAGGGGGCGTGCCAGCCCTGGCTGTGGGGAGAGGGTGGCAGCTCGCCCATCCCCAGGGAGGGCTCGGTGCCCGCTGTCGTTCCGCTCAGCCTTTGACCCACGACCAGCACCCCCACCCCCGTTGTCCCTGGCACCGACATGAGCCAGGATGGGACGGGAGCCACAGGGGCCTTGTTGCGGGCGCTCTGAGCACCCTGGGAGGGGAAGTTGGTGGCAAAAGGGAACTGGAGCAAGAATATAGCGGGGAAGGCGTTTGCTTTGCACGCGGCCGACCCGGGTTTGATCCCCGGCATCCCATAGGGTCCCCCGAGCACCGCCAGGAATCATTCCTGAGTGCAGAGCCAGGAGGAAGCCCTGAGCATCACCGGGTGTGACCCCAAAAGACAAAAAAAAAGTTGGTGGGAAGCAGCCCCCTGTCTGCACCCCCTGCCCCCCACATGCCTGGGGGACGAGGCGGGCTCCCTGCAGCCGTGTCCGCCCACCAGGCCGGCTTCTCCCCCCACTCCGGCTTCCGCGTCTAGGTCCCGTCGCCGGGGCGTTAGGAACACACATGCTGGGGGCGCTGGGGCCCCTCGCGAGCCAGCAGCCGGGGAGTGGGGTCTCAGGGGCTCCCCGCTGGTGGGCGGCCCCGGGCCCGGGTCTGCACCTGGGGGCCTGCAGCGTGCCTGTCCGCCCGCCCGCAGCGTCAGCAGCGGCTACCTCTACGTGACCATCATCTACAACATCTCCGTCAGCCTGGCGCTCTATGCCCTCTTCCTCTTCTACTTCGCCACCCGCGAGCTGCTCAGCCCCTACAGCCCCGTCCTCAAGTTCTTCATGGTCAAGTCCGTCATCTTCCTCTCCTTCTGGCAGGGTGAGGGGGCCTGCCTGGGCGGGGGGGCTGGGGGGTCCTGACGGGGTGGGGGGTCCTGACTAGGTTGGGGGGTCCTGGCGGGGTGGGGGGTCTTGACGGGGGGTCCTGACTGGGTTGGGGGGTCCTGATGGGGCAGAGGGGCCCTGATGGGGTGGGGGGGTCCTAACAGGGCGGGGGGTCCTGACTGGGTTGGGGGGTCCTGGCGGGGCTGGGGGGGCCTGACTGGGTGGGGGGATCCTGACGGGGTGGGAGTGAGTCCTGGCGGGTGGAGGGGTCCTGACTGAGTTGCGGGGGTCCTGACGGGGTCGGGGGTCCTGACTAGGTTGGGGGGTCCTGGCGGGATGGGGGTCTTGACGGGGGGTCCTGATGGGGCAGAGGGGCCCTGATGGGGTGGAGGGGTCCTAACAGGGCGGGGGGTCCTGACTGGGTTGGGGGGTCCTGATGGGGCAGAGGGGCCCTGATGGGGTGGGGGGGTCCTAACAGGGCGGGGGGTCCTGACTGGGTTGGGGGTCCTGGCGGGGCTGGGGGCGCCTGACTGGGTGGGGAGGTCCTGACTGAGTTGGGGGTTCCTGACGGGGCAGGGGGTCCTGACGGGGTAGAGGGCCCTGACGGAATGGGGGGGTCCTGATGGAGCGGGGGGTCCTGACTGGGCTGATCCTGACTCAGCTGGGGGGATCCTGACAGAGCTGGTTCTGACTGGGGGGGGCGCTGACTGGGCTGCCGGGGGGTCCTGACTGGCTGACAGGGCTGGTCCTGAGTCAACTGGTCCTGACTGGGCCTGGGTGTCCCTGACTGGGAGGGGCGTGTGGCACGGAGGGGCTGGGAAGGGGACCCAGGCTGTGCCCGCCGTCCCCCGCAGGCATGCTGCTGGCCATCTTGGAGAAGTGCGGGGCCATCCCCAAGATCCACTCGGCGCGCGTGTCGGTGGGCGAGGGCACGGTGGCCGCCGGCTACCAGGACTTCATCATCTGCGTGGAGATGTTCTTCGCCGCCCTGGCGCTGCGGCATGCCTTCACCTACAGGGTCTACGCCGACAAGCGGCTGGACGCCCAAGGTAGGCGCCCTGACCCCCCCGCCCAGGCAGGGGCCAGCCAAGAAGCGGGGTCCCGGCCCCTCTCGGGGCTCCCCTGAGTGTGCGGACCCCAGGGTGATATTTGTCTTGGTCCTGGCTGGGGGTGCAGGACCCCCCCAGCCCCCCACTGCTGCACTCAAGCGGGGGGGCCCAGGACTTTCTCCTGGTGGGATCGGGGGGCCCTACGGAGTGGCGGGGGTTGAACCCAGGTTGGCCGCGTGCGAGGTGAGCACCCTCCCCTCTGTGCTGTCTCGTGGCCTGAAAGTGCTACCTGGGAGCAGGCGGGGGGCGGGAGCAGGATGGGGGGACACAGGGGCAGGTTGGGGCAGGGGGGCCTGCAGGCCCCGGGGGCTCATCTTGTCTGGCCAGAGCAGAGGGTGGCCTGGCAGCCCTGAATGTCCACTCCTCAGAGCTTGCGGGGGTATAGCATTGGGTGGGAGGTCCCTGGGGCGGCCGCAAGGGCCTCCCATGAGGGCCCACTGGGCTTGGCCACTTTCTTGCCTGTCCCCCCACCGTGGGCCTCCCCACATCCTCCACCACACACTTGCACTCAGCCCCCCCACACACACACACAGCCCAGAGCCGCGCCGCGTAGACCAGGGCGTCTCTCTTGGCCACTGCCCTGCCGCTCCCCTGGCTCCGGGTCGCAGGGACCCAGGCATCCCCTCCCCATCTCCCCGCACCCACTGTCCAGGGCCATGGCCTGCAGAAAACCCGGGGTGTCCACACGTGGTGGCCAGGCGGGTCCCTCAGCTGCCTGCCCGCGCCCCGGTTGGACCAAGTGTCCTGCTCTAGTGTCCACTTCCCCGCCCACCCGGGAGCCCCCAAAGCCTGCCTGGCCTGCCGCAGAGCCGGGGCGTGGGGGCTGACCAAGAGTCCTGACTTCCCGGGACCCCCCCAGGTCTGGGAGAGCGGGCCGGCGGTGTGGGGGTGCAAGGGGGCGGTGGTTGCTCACCAGCTCTCTCTTCTCTGTCTCTCTGGCTTCTCCCTCCACCCCCCGCCCCCCACTCCCGCCCGGCCTGGCCCCTGGTGTGGCCGCGGGCAGTGCCAACGTACGGCCCTTACGGTAGGTGTTGCCGCCTGTGCACGTCTGTCCCAGTCCCTGTCCCCGGCATGCCTGTCGTCCCCGTCCCCCAGAGGCAGAGCCCTTGGTCCCTCGGTCTGTCCTTCCATCCGTCCGTCCATCCTTCCATCCATCCATCCATCCGTCTGTCCGTTTGCCTGCTTCTGTCCTGGTCTCATTGTTCCGGCACCTGCCCCAGGGGGGTCTGGGGGTGCACCCGGGCAGCCGGCCGCCAGCTGTGTTCATGGGTGTGGAACAGGGGCCACGAGGCGGGGACAGATTCTTCACCAGGAGGGACGGATGTCAGGGCAGGTGGCTTATGGGGGAGGGGAGAATGGGTGGGCGTTTCGGGAGGCGACCCCGGGCCCCTGCCAGGCGCCCTAACCGGCCGCCCGTCCCGCAGGCCGCTGCGCCCCCATGAAGAGCATCTCCAGCAGCCTCAGGGAGACCATGAACCCGCACGACATCGTGCAGGACGCCATCCACAACTTCTCGCCCGCCTACCAGCAGTACACGCAGCAGGCCACGCTGGAGCCCGGGCCCACGCGCTCCCACGGGCTGGTGCGCTCGCACAGCCTGGGCGCCGCGCGCGACCACGAGAAGACGCTGCTGCTCAGCTCCGACGACGAGTTCTAGCGCGCCCGGGCCGGGGACAGCGACGGGGCCTGGGCCCGGAACGGCGACGCGCGCCTGGGACCAGATGCGCCCGGGACCAGATGCGCAGGTTGCGCGCCCGAGGCCAGGATGCGCGCCCGTGCCCCAGACCCAGACGAGACGTGCGCCCTTCGGGACCAGGACGCACCCACCAGGACGCACCCATCTTCGCTTCCAGAGCAGCCGCCAACAATATGCCCCGCCAGACCCAGCACGGGCGGACCCCCAGGGACCAGCGCGGAGCCCCGCGTCGCGTCCCCCAGACTCAGCCCCCCACTCTCTCGCGCGCGCGCGTACCGTGCAATGCCGGAGCTGGGCCTGCCCCGCCTGCGCCCTCCGTGTCCAGTGGGAGGGCCGTGCTGTGGACTCCCCTTCCCTCCAGGCCCGCTTGGTATGCTGCAAAGATGAGAGCCAGACCCCCACGAGCCCCCCGCCTAGAGGACAGCCCCACCCCCACCATGCCCCTCCCTCCTGGGCTCTGTGGAGACCCTTGAGGTCACAGCTGGGGGTGGGCAGTGGCCCCTCTTCCCTGCTGGGCCCCTGCCACCGCTGCTGGAGGGGGTCTCAGCCAGGCTTTGGGGTTCCAGGTTGAGGATGGGCTCCCCTGGAAGGGTGGGGGTGCTGCTGGGAGGAAGGTCCCAGACTCTGGGGGGGGGGCATCCGCAGGGCCTGGGGTCCTGCCTCATGCAGACCCTGCCCGTCTCCTGTGCCTTAGCCACACATAAAAGCTTCCCCCGTTGCCCCCTCAGTTGCTTTAGGTACCCAGCAGCGTGGGCAGGGGCCCGAGACAGCCTGGCCCACCGGTCCTAACCTCACCTCCCCATCTCCCGGGTCGGGGTCCCCCAGGACTGCCCCTGTCCTTGCTGGTGCCTGAGGACACGGGCTGCACCCAGGGGTCTCCTCTCCTTTGGGCATATGGGGTTCCAGGCCTGGGGTCTTCCCTGGTGACCACTGCAGCCCCTCGGAGCAGGGGGGTGGAGGGGAGGGCGGGGTGCAGGCCAGCAGGGGGTCCCTGACTCTTCCCCCAAACCCGCTCTGTCCTCTAAGCATCCTTCCAGGCCAAAGTGTCCTGCATCTCGGTCTGTGCGGCCTGGGCCCCTGCCCGCTGCCATGGAGGGGGTGATGGGTTGGGGGGGGACTCAGTACTGGAGGGGCACAAGGACCAATGTGGACCACCCCCCTCCCCGTCCAAGGAGGCAGACCCTCCCCTTGTCTTTTTCGTTGGTTTCCATTTCCCTCCCCCCTAGAGTAGCTCTTTGTACATAAGAAATACTTGAAGACACCCTCGGACCCCGTGTGAGACGCCCAGAGCCCCTAGTTTTGTACGCGTCTGACTGCCGTGACCCCCTCCTCCCACCCCCCCAGAAAGCCGCTCTATTTTGGTCTCTGACATTTGAAATGCGTGACGGAAGTGAGCAAATAAAGTGAGAAAGAGTCTATATATATGAAATAATCTAGATGGCACCCAAACCTGCCTCTGGGTGACGTTCTTTCCCGTTCCTGAACCCCGGGGGTGGGGTGGGGGGGCGGGGCGGGAGCCTCTTCCTGGGGGTGTGGGGCCACACGGCCAGAGGTGGACACTGAAGGCCAGCCCACCCCCCCACCTCCAGTTCCTCCCTCTCCCCCCAGGCAGAAGGACAGGCGATGTTTGTCAGCTGAGACTCCCAGGGTCCCCGGGCTCTGCCTGGCCCTGGCCGGGCACTGTGCCACCGCCTGCCTCCTGATCAGGCTGTGACGCCAACGCTCAGGAATGTGCTGTGGGCGGGGGAACTTCCCCCGCTGGCCACCACCCCGCACCCACCCCCACCCCGCTTCCTGCCACCCTCAGCACCTCGGGATGGGGATCAGAGAAGGGCCCTAACCCAGCGGGGGGGCCCATGGCCCCAGGAACCAGCCAGACTTGGCAAGGGGCTCCCCGCGTTCTCCAGTTCTGCTCCCTGGAACACTCCCAGCTGCACGGAATTCGCCAAAGCCCCGGGAACATTTTCTCTGCATGTTCCAGCTCATTCCTTCCCCCTCCCCTCCAAAGTCCCCCCTCCCCGCCTCACTCCAGCCTGTCAGACCTCCGCCCTGGATGTGCCTTCATCCAGGGGAAACTGAGGCTGAAAGAAGGTCCCGGGAAAGGTGCCCCCAGCTTGGAAGACAGGTTCTACACCTGGGTTTGTGTCTCTGTTTCCCGGGCCTTCTCCGAGTACCCCACTGGCACGGGGGTGGGGGTGGGGTTTTAGCGCGGATCAGAGGGCAGAGGTTAAAGCGCTTAACTTTGCACATGGCCCAGATTGACTCTGAGCACCCCAGAGGGCATCCTGAGCCTCACCAGGAGTCATCCCTGAGCACAGACCCTGAGCACTGCCAGGGGTGACCCAAACATCCCAGAAGAAAAATGAACATTCACGGGGCAGCTTGGGAGCCTGCCAGCCTCACAGGGCTTTCTGGGTCACAGGGAAAATACTTTCTATTTGGTTCTAGAAAATCAGCTTCGTGTGAAGGTGCTAGGAAAGTGACTTGTTTTGCGGGGGCATACCCAGCGATGCCCAGGGGTTTCTCTTGACTCTGTGTTCAGGAATTGCTCCTTGCGGTACTCGGGGGGGCCCTATGGGATGCTGGGAATTGAACCCGGGTAGGCTGCATGCAAGGCAAATGTCCTCCCCACTGTGCTATTGCTCTAGCCTGAAGCTTTTTTTTTGCTTTTTTTGGGTCACACCCAGCGATGCACAGGGTTTCCTCCTGGCTCTGCACTCAGGAATTATTCCTGGTGGTGTTCAGGGGACCATATGGGATGGTGGGGATTGAACCCGGGTCGGCTGTGTGCAAGGCAAACGCCCTCCCCGCTGTGCTATTGCTCTGGCCTGAAGCTGATATCTATATGTGGGACTTTTCCTCTCCAGCAAGGCTGTTGACTCACCAAGGCGGGGACCCAGGACCTCACCCTCTGGTTCTACATCACCAGGCGGCCCTTCAAAGGCACCCCTTCACCCCAGCCCCTATCCCATGCTCCATCACGAGGCTGCTTCATGTCTTCCTCTGCAAAGCAGGGTGAGCCTGCCAGCCAGAGCAGGGCACCCCCCGTCCCCCAGAAAAACCAAACAAACAGCACAGAACATAAACACTTCTCTGTGGAAAAAGAGAACTTTGACTTTATTCAGAAAGTCTATAAAATACAGAAGGCGGATAATTCGCTTGCTGTAGGTCAGAAAATAAATAAATTCTAGGGACCGGCTTTTTTTTTTTGGTGGCCACACAGGGCTGTGCTCGGGGTTTACTCCTGGCTCCTATGTCCAGGGGTCATTCCTGGGGGGCCCCATATGGGGTGCCAGGGATCAAACCCCTATCGGCTGCGTGCACAGCAAGTAAGTGCTTTACCCACTGTATGACCTCTTTGAACCCCAGGGGAATTTTTTTTTTAAAAAACCATTTTGGGGATTATCTTTTCATCCGGCTGCCCCTAAATATAAGATAATATGTGATTTATCTGCAGATATAAAATATAAAGTCCAGCTCAGAGCCACAGGCCACTTTCCAGGAAGTGACTGCCAGCCCTGGCTGGGGAGAATAACTTAGATTCGTGCAATAAATAAACAGCTCGGGGTAGGGGGTGGGGGTGGGGAGACTGGGCTTCCCAGGATAACTGGCGTCAGTGGGAGTGTCAGCCCGAGGGCGCTTGGGGGAGGCCTTCCCTTCTAAGGGTGCACCCCAGGGTTGCAGAGCCTGATCCCTGGGTCCCCCACTGTCTGGCTGGCCCACCCCTCCCCCTGCCTTCGGTATCACCTGCTCTGGCCCTCTGCTATCCTGCCCCACCCCCACACAGCGGTCTCCCACACGCAGGGTCTTTGCACCCCTTCTCTGGCCTGTTCACGGCCCCCTGAAAACCACAGCTGCTAGCAAGTTCTGGCTTGTAATTCCGGCTCTAACCACTTAGTTTCGGGTTCGCGCCTGCCCACAGGCCTCTTTCCACCTGCCCACTTTACCCCTCTCCCTGCCTTAGAAAAGACCAGGCAGCCCAACGTATTGGTGGGGGACATCAGCGTCCCAGCGGGAGACCCAGGAGACCCCCAGTTCCCACTCTTGGGAGGAGTGCGCGGAAGGACTCTTGACACATATGAACAATCAGATTACAAAGTGCAGGTGGCCCTTTGCTCCCCTGACACAACCCAACTGACCCCAGCCCCCCACTCTAAGGCGGCAGGACTTCAGCCACTGGGAGACCCTGAGCGGCGCGCATCCCGCCCACCTCCCACCCCCATTCCCCATCTCAACAAAGCTGCTTCTCCCCAGGGACAAGAAGTCCCAGTCCGGCAGGTTGCTGGAGGACAGACCCCGCAGAGAGGACGAGTGTCCACTCCAGGGACAGCCAATAAATGGCACGTGGGGGATGAGGAGGCGCTTAGGCACTTGGGGCCGTGGGGCATGGCCGGGAGGACAGAGATGGGACCGAGGATGAGAGGGAGCAGCCCGTGATGGGGCGGGGCCGAGGACTAGGGGGCGGGGAGAGGGCGCGGGGTGGGGCCTAGGAACAGGGGGCGGGCCCGGGAACTAGAAGGAAGTGGAGTGGGTGGGGCTTGGATAGTGGGCGGAGACTCGGGGCAGGAGGCGGGACCAGAGATCAGGAGGTGGGGAGGGCGGAGCTTAGAGGGTGGGGCGGGGCCGAGAGGGTGGGGCGGGGACTCAGAGCAGGAGGCGGTAAGGGGACCGGGAGGGGGTGGAGAGGGCGGGGCTTGGAAGACGGGGTGGGGACTAGGAGCGGGGACGGGGACGCGGAGCAGGGGACAGGGAGGCGGAGGCGGGGCTTGGAGGGCGGGGCGGGGACTCGGAGCAGGAGGCAGTAGGGGGACCAGGAGGAGGTGGAGAGGGAGGGGCTTAGAAGGTGGGGCGGGAACTAGGAGCAGGGGGCGGGGAGGCGGGGCGGGGCCGGGATGGTGGGGCGGGGACTTGGAGCAAGGGGCGGGGCCGAGAACCAGGAGGTGGTGAGAGGGCGGGGCTTGGAGGGCGGGGCGGGGACTAGGAGCAGGCGGCGGGGGCGGGGCCTGGGGCGGGGGCGGAGCCTGGGGCGGGGCCGGCGGCGGCGGCGGCGGCCGCGGGGCCCGGGGCCGACTTGACGATGGTGATGACGCTGGCCGGGGCCACGAGGGTGGCGGGCCCGCGGGCCGCGGCCACGGAGCGCGCGAAGCCCTGCAGCGCCTCGCACTTGCCGCGCAGCGCGTCGAGCTCCAGGCGCATGGCGGCGTTCTCGCGCGCCAGCTTGTCCACCTCGCGCTCCAGCTCCGACTTCTGCTTCTGCAGCTCCTCCTTCTGGCACACGCGCTTCACGCGGCAGCTGGCGGCGTAGCCGCGGTTCTTGAGCGTGCGGCGCCGCTGCTTGAGCCGCGTCACCTCCTCGGCCGACAGCCCGCGCAGGTGCCGGTTCAGCTCGCGCACCGACAGCCCCATCAGCGCCTCGTCGGACAGGTGCGGCGTGTTCTCGCTCAGCTCGCGCTTGATCTGGGGGCAGCACGGTGGATGCAAGCGGGGAAACTGAGGCCCAGGCTCGCCCCTTTGCCTGTGCACCCCGCCCACACATGCACACCCCCTCCTGCCTGGGGACGGGTGGCTGGGGACCTCCCAGCCCCAGACCTCCCCTTCACCGCGAGGTAGACGCGAAGAGGAAGCGGTTCCGTTTTGCTTCAAGACCCCAAGAGGGACAGGAATTAGGGCAAGGGGCGATCAGCGCCCCGGGGAGCCACCCAAAAGATAACCCAGATTGGGGCGAGCACTCCCTCCTGCTTCTCCCCATACACACACACCTTGGGTTCACCCAGAGAAACCCCGCCTGGAAAGCACCTTTGAGGTCCTACCGCCCAGCTGGGTGCCGGCTGTGGGGACGGGGAACAGGCCAGAGAGGGAAGTGACAGGTGCGCGGGACAGGACCTAGGATCCAGGTCCAGATCCTGGACCTCCTGTCCCCAGCCCAGGGTCCTTCTGTGATCCCGTGATGGGGGGGGGCCTCTAGGGCAGCGAAAAAGGGCTGGAGGGGGGGGGCAGGGGGCCGCCTCCTCACCTTCAAAGCCTTGCTGGATAAGGGATCCCCAGACATGTTTGCAGAAGGCGCCTCTGGGCTGCAGACCTGGGGGAGAGACGATGACAAGGTCACTTCTGTCCCCCCTGGAACCCAAAGACCAGAGACCATATAAGAGGTAACAACAGTGGGCTTGCCTTGCGTGAGCAAACCCCGGTCCCCAGCACTGCACACATTCCCTGAGGGCGGCCAGGGTCACTCCTGAGCACTGATTCAGTAAGGGCCCCTGAGTACCACTGGGTGTGGCCCTCAACCTCTCCCAACAACCCCAAACTCACTGTTTGGCTACCAAAGCCACTGCTTTTTGGGGGTGCCGGAGGGGTTATTTGGTCACACACCAGGGCAGTGCTCAGGAGTGACCCCTGGTGATGCTCAGGGAACCCTGTGTGGTGCTGGGGATTCAAACTGGGATGGTGGCGGCCACCAAGGACCCCCTCAGACCACCACTCCCTGTCGCAGGGGCCCCGCCAGTCTCTGATGGCGCCTCCCAGCCTCAGGGTCCCTGCACCTACCATGCTCTTTCTCCCCATCTCCCCACAACGATTCGTCACTGAGTGCTCGCCTCAGAGCTGCCCTCCCGAGAGGTCAGGTGACCCGTGCTCACACCGTCACACACACAGTCCCCTCTGCTTCTTCCCAGCTGGGGATGGACCCCAGAGTCTCCCACATGCAAGGTGAACCCATTTCTGGCACCTGTGACTCTCTTATGTCTGCTTCCTCGTTTTCGTCTCTATCTCCCAAACCATCTTCCACCAACGCAGGTGCCCTCGGGTGTCACTGCGCCCGTCAGCGTGAACTTCAGCACCCAGCCCACACGCAGGGAAACAGGCACCCAGTGAGCAGGTCCCATGTCCTATCCCCACCCATGCTCTTCACCTGAAGCCCAGACGTGTTTTTTTCTGAAATCATTTATTGCTACTTGGGGTTTAGTCCTGGCAGTGCTCAGGGGACCCAGTGGGATGCCTGGGATTGAACCTGGGTCATCTGCATGCAAGGCAAGCGCCCTACCTGCTGTATTATCGCTCCAGCCCCCTGTCAGGTATAATTTATCTGACTTAAAAAAAAAAAAAAGAAAAACTTTTCAGGGGCCAAAGAGATAGTGTAGTGGGAAATACGGTCCCCTGAGCCCACCAGGAATGATCACTCTGCACAGAGCCAGAGCCAGAAGTAAGCCCTGAACACTGCCAGGTGTGGCCCCCAAACCAAAAATAATTTTCCTTTTTCTTAGTTTTTGGGCTACACCCAGCGATGTCAGGGGCTACTCCTGGCTCTGCACTCAGGAATTACTACAATCAGTAGTAACTCCCGGTGGGCTCAGGGGGCCACATGGGATGCTGGGGATTGAACCCGGGTTGGCTGTGTGCAAGGTAAACACCCTCCCCGCTGTGCTGTTGCTCCAAATGCAATAAATTAATACGTGTCACGACCTTTGCATGGAAGGGAGATGCAGCTCTGCATGTTGGGTGCATCTCTGCACACTGGAGGCTTGGGTTTGATCCCTGGCCCCACACGGTCCCCAGAGCATCCCTCTTCCTCTGACCACAGAGCCACGAGTTGCCCCCGAGCATCACTGCCCATGTGGCTCCAAACCCCAAAACCGAACCTTCAAGGTACACAAAACCCCTTCTGATCAATGATGCTCACAGTCCAAGCCACACCCCATCTGTACCCCTTACCCCTGGCTTTACTCAGGGATTGCTCCTGGCTCAGTGCTCAGGAATCACTACTGGCTCTGTGTTCAGCAACCACTCCTGGCTCTGTGCTCAAGGCTCACTCCTGGCTCAGTGCTCAGGAATCACTCCTGGCTCTGTGCTCAGAGCGTTCAGGCCTTACTCCTGGCTCTGTGCTCAAGGCTCACTCCTGGCTCAGTGCTCAGGAATCACTCCTGGCTCTGTGCTCAGGGCTCACTCCTGGCTCTGTGCCCAGGGCTCACTCCTGGCTCTGTGCCCAGGGCTCACTCCTGGCTCTGTGCTCAGAAATCACTCCTGGCAGGCTCAGGGGACCATCTGTGGTGCTGGGATGGACCCCAGGTCTGCTGCATGCAAGGGGAGTACCCAACCTGAATCCCATCGCTCCAGCCCCCCACTGCTGAATCTTTAGATTGGGGTGTGGACAGTTCAGGCCACCAGCCAGCGCACACACCCACCACAGCCCACCAAGCCAGAGGGTTTGATGTCCCAGAGGGAAGAGACAGAAAAGAAAAGGAAAAAAAAATCAATGTTTCAAAGGCCCCCCTGACTGAGACAGCTGCCTCGGGCCTCCCACTGAAAGGGTCCTTGGTGCCGGACCTCAGGCTGCTACTGATGCTTCCTCCTGAGCCACCCAGCCCCTCCCACGAGCACACCCATCGCTCCCTGCAGGCCCCAGCAGAGCTCCGCAAACCGCCCGTGGCTCCCGGCTGTCGGCCCCAGCCCCGCGTGCACCCCAACACGTGTCCCGCCAGAGTCTGCTCTCGCCCCCACGCCATGCTCCCTTTCTTCACTTCCTCCCACTCCACACTTTCGCACCTCGGGGATGTTCCACAGCCCATGACGCTCCCCATCCCTCCCACTCCATCTGGCTGACTGCTCCTCACACCTCCTCTAGCCCTGACCTCAGACGCCTCCTCCTCCTCCAGGAAGCCCTCCCTGACCCTTGCCATCTGGTGAGGCAGCCCTACTCGTTGGCCCCGAGGCAGTCAGTTTCCTTTTCTCCCCACCAGACAGGGCGCTGGGCAGGCAGGAGCCGGGCAGACAGAGGCCAGTGGCTCAGGGTGTGGCCTGGAGCAGGCGCCCCTGAGGGTTGAATGGTGCCAACTCCACCCTCACCCTCACTGCCTGCTTGGTCAGGCCCGGAGCCCGTCCCCTCATCCCCGGACATCGCTAATTGATCAGGGCACATGTCCTCTGGAGCCTGGACAGTCCTGGGCATCCTGCCCGAAAGGCCCCCCCCCCAAAGCTGTCCCCACACCAGAGTCCCCAAGGGGGTCCCTGCGCTCTGCAAAGGCCGGTCTTTGGGAACAGAGGCTCCGGGTCTGTCCCCTCCTTCTCCTCTGGCTCTCCTTTTGAGTCTTTATTTTATTTTTAAAATTTTTTTTTTTTGCTTTTGGGGGTCACACCTGAGCGGTTACTCCTGGCTCTGCACTCAGGAATTACTCCTGGCGGTGCTTGGGGGATCCTAGGGGATGCTGGGAATCGAACCCAGGTTGGCTGCTTGCAAGGCAAACGCCTCCCCGCTGTGCTATTGCTCCAGCCCCTCCTTGGAGTCTTTAAAGGGCGGCCCCCCTCCCCCAGCTGTTCCTGACGCGGGTTGGGCGAGAGCTGACACTTGCAGGATTGACAGCTGGCTGGCCCACTGGGCAGCCACGAGGAGCCCTGGGCCCGCCCCCTGCCCGCCCGCTGCCCCCCAGGCGGCCCAGACGCCCTGCAGACTGCCGGCCCGGCCCACCCACTGGCACCGGCTCCCCTCTGGCCGCCGCGCCGCTCGCTTCCTCTGTGAGGACACGGGGAAAAAATGTGTTTTCCTGGGCCTTGGCAGCCACACTGGGGGCGCCTCCTCCCTCCTGGACGGAGCACTCCGCGGGAGGGCCCAGGCCCCGGCCAGGGGGTTCCCGCGGGGGTCCAGCTGCCCACTCACACTCGGCTCAGACTGCAGGTATGTACCGCCCTCTCCCTGGGGCCTCAGTGTCCCACCTGGCCGATCTCCATCAAGAGCACTGATGGTCACAGAGTTCAAAGTCTGGGAACTGAGCCCTAAGATATTAGTATCTCAGAGGTCCTCGGGCAGGGAGAAGGCATCCAGGAAGGCTCCTTGGAGGCAGAGGCACGCAAACACAAACTCAGACGATCAGCCCGGACCCTCCCTCTACCTACACAGCCAGGGACCCTTGGGGCCAGGCGAAGGGGACACTCCCAGCAACCCTCAGACAGCCGAGTCTGAACGCTCAATGCCAGGGACCCAGGATGTGGTGCCCTCTGGGGTCCTGTGATCCGGGGGCCATCAGGACACCCGGAGGTCCTCGGAGAGCATCCTGGGCTATGGCTGGAGGAGCTTCAGAGACCACCGGATGCTGGGATCCAGCTCCCAGTCCCCCATTTCCTTTCTTTTGGGGGGGTGCAGCTGGTGGTGTTTGGGGCTGTCTCTGGCTCAGGCCTCAGGGCTCACCCCCAGTGGCACTCGGGGAACAGCCTTGCAGGAGGTGGGGGGATCGAAGCCCAGCTTCTTGCATGCTCTGTGCATCTTCCTGGCCCGTTCTCAGCAGAACCACAGCTGCCTGCTCCCCGTGCGGGGCCAGCCCCCCTCCCCCAAGGCCGGATGCATCGGATGCAACTGCGAGTCCTGCCCATGCGGAGTGCTGCAGGTTACAGCCATGCCTGAGCCCCACTCGCTCCCCTCTGCAGCTGACAGCTGAGAGGCTGCAGCACTGTCTGAGGGGGCAATGGAGTGAGTGCAGGGGGGTAGGGGTGTAGATGCATGAGTGTGTGTGTGTGTGTGTACACATGTGTGTGAGTGCATGTATGTAGGTGCATGAGGACATGTGTGTAAGTGTATGATGTGGGTATGAGAGTGTGTATGCATGTGAGTACATGAGTGTGCATGTACACGTATGAACACACATGTGTGAGTTGCATGTATGTAGGTGCATGAGGACACGTAAGTATGTATGTGAGTGTGAGAGTGTATATGCATGTGAGTACATGAGTGTACATGTACATGTAAGAATACACATGTGTGAGTTGCATGTATGTAGGTGCATGAGGACACGTGTAAGTGTATGCATGTGGGTGTGAGAGAGTGTGTATGCATGTGTGTGAGTACATGAACGCATGTGTATGTGTGCACAAGTGTGAATACATGTGTACATGAGCGCATTTATGTTGGTATGTGAGTACACATGTCTGAGTGCATGTGTGTAGGTGTGTGATATGTGTGTAAGCATATGAGTACACAAATGTGTGTATGTATGTGTCACACGTGTGAGTGCATGCATGTAGGTGTGTAGTGAGTACACATGTATATGAATGTGTGTGTATAGGTGTGTGAGTACACGTGTGTATGCAAGTCTGTAGGCATGTGAGAGTGTGTGTATGTGTGCATGTGTATGTGAGTACGCGTATGTGTGTGCGTGTGTCCCCTGGACCTTGAAGGATCTCTTTTTGGGAGACTAAAGCAAGAATTTTACAGTCGGGAGGCCTGGAGCAATAGCACAGAGGATTGGGTATTTGCAAGGCAAACGCTGGTTCCCGGCATCCCATGTGGTCCCCCGAGCACCACCAGGAGTGATTCCTGGGTGCAGAGCCATTAAGTAAGCCCTGAGCATTGCCAGGTGTGGACCCCCCAGAAAAAAATCTTACATTTAGGGGCCTACAGTAGGGGGAGTATGACTGGCGCAGGGCCAATCCGGGTTTGATCCCCGGCATATAGTCCCACGTAGTCCCCAAGGCCCACCAAGAGTAATCCCTGAGCACAGAGCCAGGAGTAACCGCCGAGCACTCGGAGTGTTAGTTGCGGCTCCAAAACAACAAAACCAGCATCCTGTGGGGGGGGGGGGGGCAGGGGCTCCCGCCTTGCCCTGTGCACCCTCTACCCTGCTCCACCCCATAGATGGTTCTTGAGGCATCTCTGGAGTCACAGAGCCAGCAGGAGCTCCGGCACTGCTGGGTGTGGCCCCCAAACAAAGAACAAAGCAAAACAGTGCTCCTGCGGTGGCGCAAGGATCAGGACATGCTCAGTGGCAGATCTGGCGCTCTAGCTCCGAACCCGCATCCCCGCCCCCCCCCAAGACCTCATGCCCAGGCCTCTGGCCGGGCCTTTTTCTCTATGCATTACGGGTGCACTCAGAGATCATGAACCCAGTGCACATTCATTCAGTCAGTCAGCAAACAGCCAAGAAGCACCTACTCTGGGCCAGGCTTAATACTTAACACCCGGAGATGCTCCACCTCTCCGTCCCCTCCACCTGATGATTCGGCTCACGGGTCACCTCCTCAGAGAAGCCTTCCAAGACTGCCCAGCTGATGCCCCTTTCAACCATGGTGACCTCCCCTACCCCGTCCTGCCCTCTCCACCGTGGCTGTGCTGCAATTCCTCCACAGCCCCTCCCCCCGACTGTGAGCTTGGAGGCAGGGGATGCTGGGGTCTGGTTTGTTGATGTCTCATCCTCCACCCTCAGCCTCAATTCAGGGAAAACAGGAAGAGGAGGGACATGGGGGGGCTAAGACCAGGAGAGCGCCTCTGGCCTGACCAGGGTGCAGGCCTTCCAGCTATGATTGTCCCCTGCCCGCCTCAGCCCTCTCAAGCAGAGTATGGGGCACCCCACGACTCCCCACCCACCCCATCCCACAGTTCTGGGGCCAGTGTGGTTCTCTGGGCCCAGCTGGTCCTTAGTCTACAGGGCGAGAGGTCAGTGGCCCCCCCCCAGCATGGACCTCTAAGGCACTGACAAGGCCTATCCCAGGAGCCTCTGGGTTCCGCCTCCCCCGCCCCCACCTGGCAGTTCGTGACCTCTCAGGTGGCAATGAACCGGGTGGGTGTGACAAGTGCCACCTGGGACGTTCGGCCAGCCCCGCCCAACTGTCCACCCAAGGCCAGGAGCCCAGAGGAAGTGGGGGCCCTTCCTCCGTCCCGCCATGAGGCCAGGCTTTCTGGCCCTTCCGGTTCCTCCTGCCACTCAGGGAGGGATGGAGTTTCCCCCCAACACCCATAGTCCCCCCACCCCACCCCCAGCTGGAAAACCTGGGAACCAGGACCCTGCCTCTCCTGACCCGGGTCTCCCAGATCTGGGTACTCTGCCCACCCACCTCACCTCTCCCTGCCTCCCCCGCCCCCACCCAAGCTGCAGGCACCTGCTAGCACCTGCTGACCAGGAGGGCTCAAACGCCCTGACCCATGGCCAAGGCCTGGGAAGTCCAGGGAGAGAGTGGGTGGGAGGGTGCTTCTTGGGGAACCTGTGCCCCTTCACTAGAACCCAGTTTGGCCCCGTCCTACCTCCACTGCCCGCACCCAGGGCCTCAGCGACCCGGGAGAGCGAGTCCCACGGCCCCACACACCCCTCTCCAAGGTACACCCCCAAACACACACACGCACGCACACACACACACACACACACCCCTCTTCAAGCTCTCCCTCCACCCGATCCCTCTCCTCTCCCCTAGGTGCGCCGCACACGCCCTCCCTCCCTCCCTCCTTCTCTCCGCTTTCACTCCCGCCCCTCTGCCCCCCTCCTCCCGCCCCCTCTCCCCCCAGGACGCGCGCCAGGGAACACACGCGCCCGCCCGCCCGGGGACGTAAACAAACCGCGCGCGGCCGGCCGCGGGCAGCGGGCCAGGGACTGTTCCCCGCGAGTCACGTACGTGCACACGCCGCCCCCGGCCCCGCCCGGGCGGCCCCGGCGCTCGGCCCGCGCGGCCCCTTCCTGCCCGCCCCGCCGCCGCCCGGCCCGCGCCCCCAGCCAGGGGCCCCGTCCGGCCCAGCCCCCCACCCCTCGCCGGCCGCGGCCGCTGCCCGGCCCCGGGTCACTGCCCCGCCGCCGCCGCCGCCGCCGCCGGGGACAAGGACACCTGGAGCCGGACCCGGCGGGCCGCGGCCTCGCCCGGGACCCTCGGAGCTCACCCGCCGCTCGGCCCGCTCGGCCCGCTCGGCCCGCTGTCCCGGCCGCGCTGGCCCGCTCGCCTTCCCTCCGCTGCCCACCGCGGGTCGGCCCGAGTCCGGCGCCCCGGGAGTCGTGTTGTGCGGCGAGCGGCGCGGGGGGCCGCGCGGAGTTGTAAGGCGAGCTTCCCGGAATTACTCACTCGCAGGATTCCTTTCATTCATAAAAACCCAGTCATGCGGTGACGTCACTGCCCCCGCCGCCCCCCGGCCCCGGAGCGGCCTCCCGGAGCCTCGGCCCCGCCCCCGGCCCCGCCCCGCGAAGGCCACGCCCCCGCCAGGGCGCCGCCTCGCCTACTCAGACCCCGATTCGCCCGCCCAGGTCCCGCCCCGCCTACTCAGGCCCCGCTTCGCCCGCTCAGGCTCCGATTCGCCCGCCCAGGTCCCGCCCCGCCTACTCAGGCCCCGCTTCGCCCGCCCAGGTCCCGCCCCGCCTGCTCGGGCCCCGCCCTCCCCATTCAGGCCCCGCCCCACCAGTCCAGGCCACGCCCCTCCTGCCCAAGCCCCGCCCGCTCAAGTCCCGCCCCGAGATTAGCAAAGCCTGGTAACACGAGGGCTGGGTGGATTCACGTGACGCCTCCAGAAAGCCGCGTGGGTGGAGGTGTCGTTTGTCTCATTTTGAAGGGTACGGTCCCAGGACTCTCCTTTTGAACTACACCCTGTCTTGATGATCTCATCTCGCAGTGCAGTGCCGCGGCTTTAAATGCCATTCGTATGCCCCAGAGACCCGATTCTGTGTTTCCAGAGCGAGCTTCTCTCAGACCGGGACGCCAAGCACCCCCCGCCGCTACTTTATCTGGCTGCCCACTCTGCGCCTCCACGTGGGTGCTGGAGGGAGAGAGCAAACGCGACGTGGCCAGAATCCAGCTCCTGTCTATTCCCGCTCCCCCGCATCCTTCACTCCGTAGTTCCCGATTGCGCGATTGCTTCACTTCACTCTTCCGCTCTCTGCCTTTTTTTTATTTCCAGTGTCAGGGATTGAGCCCAGGTCCTCACACATGCTACGCTTGCCCTCTACTGCGGAGTCCCAACCCTTCCATTCCCAGCCTTGGCACCTTCCGAGGCTTCCCTTTTTATTCAGAATATAAACTATACTTTGGTCTAGAAACCCCTAAGCCATGCAGCCACTCGTTAGTGTTTCTCAAATCTTTTTCCCACTGCAACCCCCCTTTTTTTTTCTGCTTTTAGGTCACACCCGGCGATGCACAGGGGTTACTCCTGGCTCTGCACTCAGAAATTACTCCTGGCGGTGCTCAGGGGACCATATGGGATGCTGGGAATCGAACCCTGGTCGCTCGCGTGCAAGGCAAGCGCCCTACCCGCTGTACTATCACTCCAACCCCTGCAAAACCCTTTTGACCTTGTTTTCTTCCTGTGACCCCCTTACCTTACAGGTTGCCCCTAGTCTTGTAGCATGACCCTCCACGGGTGCAATTTTCACTTGGGACCCCCTTGGAATATCCCGGAGTCCCACAGGGAACTTTGAGAAATGCTTGTCTAACCCCTCTCCAGTTTCACCTCCTGGCCCTCTCTCCCCTCACCGGCCACCACCTGTCAGCGGCAGCGACTGACTTCCTGGGTCCTCAAACACCCACACTCATTCCTGTCACAGGCCCTTTGCATTGACCACCTGCTCTGCTGTTGGCTGCCTGGTCCAGCCTCATCTTTCAGATGACACAGGTGCCACTGCACTGATGGGCTGTTGATTGTCAGATTGCCCTGAAAAATTAATCTCTGTCCCTTGTGATGTATTTGATTCCTATTTTCTGTCTTCCACCCCCTCCACCCTTGACAATGTCAATTTCTCGAGATACAAGCACCCCCTCGATCAAGCAGAGAGATACAGAGATAGTACAGTGGGATGGGCACTTGCCTTCCATATGGTGACTCAGGTCCACTCTCTGACGCCCCATCGGGTCCCCTGAGACCGCCAGGAATGATCCCTGAGCACAGAGCCAAGAGTAAGCCCCAAGCACCTCTGGATGTGACACCCCCTCCAAAAAGGGAAAACAAATAAGAAAAAAAGAAACGAGGGCATTTTGCAGTTCCTTCTTTTCCTTTGTGCTGGCTATTCCTTGCCATATTGCAGTGCCCACCTTACATCACTGCATGGAGAATAGGGCCTCCGAGGTCTCAGGGTGGAACCCTGGTCACTGGCGAGGCCCCCAGTCTCCTTGATGCAGTGCCTTTACTTTTACAGGTTTCATTATAGATTTTGGGTCACTTAAGGGATCATTCCTGGTAGTGCTGAGGGGACAGTGCAAGGTGCCAAAGATGGAACCCGGGTAGATTGTGTACCAGGCAAATGACTTCCCCACTGTACTGTTTCTCCAGGCTCTGTTTTTCATTTGCTTTTTGTTTTCGCAGTGCCGGGGATGGAACCAGGGCCTGTGAGGCATGTGGTGTGGTGCTGAGCCACACCTTGGCCTTTGAGTTCAGAACCCTGGTGATGCTTCCTTCCCTCAGGCTTCCTGAACTGCTGCCAGCTACCCCGACCTCCAAAGGCTCCTATGTAAGTCAACCCACTAGCTTTTTTTGGGGGGGCTGTTTTTTTGGGGGGGTCATACCCGGTGATGCTCAGGGGATAATACTGTATTTGCACTCAGGAATCACTTCTGGCACTGCTCAGGGGACCCTATAGGATGTCGGGGATCGAAAGCAGGTTGACCATGTGCAAGGCAAACACACTCTTTGCTGTACCATGACTCTGGTCCCTCACTAGCTTTTATTATTATTATTATTATTATTTGCTTTTTAGGTCACGCCCTGGTGATGCAACAGGGGTTACTCCTGGCTCTGCACTCAGGAATTACTCCTGGCGGTGCTTGGGGGACCATATCGGATTCTAGGAATCGAACCCAGGACGGCCGCATGCAGAACACACACCCTACCCGCTGTGCTATCGCTCCAGCCACCCCCCCAGATAGCTTTTTTTTTTCTTTTTGGGTCACACCTGGCGATGCACAGGGGTTACTCCTGGCTCTGCACTCAGGAGTTACCCCTGGCGGTGCTCAGGGGACCATAGGGGATACTGGGAATCAAACCCGGGTGGGCCGCGTGCAAGGCAAATGCCCTACCCACTGTGCTATTGCTTCAGCCCCCCACCCCCAATCGCTTTTAAAAGTGAACTCAGGGGGCTGGAGCACTAGCACAGTGGATAGGGCATTTGCCTTGCACTCAACCCACCCAGGTTCGATTCCAGCATCCCATAGGGTCCCCCGAGCACCGCCAGGAGTAATTCCTGAGTACACGAGCCAGGAATAACCCCCGTGCATCGCTGGGTGTAACCCCCAAAGCAAATAAATAAATAAATAAATAAACAAAAGCGGACTCAGCTTTGTTGGACCCCAACTATCCCCAATTTGCCCCTACAAATTGTCAGTGCATCCTACGTCTACATAGCTAAGAGAGCAACTCATGTAATCACTCAGGGTAGAAAACCCTGAGATCGGGGAGATTTGCTTCTGGGTCACGCACAGCAGTGGTGGAAGCTACTCCTGGTTCGGTGCTCTGGAACTCGGAGGTGCTGGGACTCAGACCCAGGGACTCCCACCCGTGAGGTGAGTGCTCTGCCATCGCGCCATCTCCCTGGCCTCACGTTTCTTCATCTTGGAGTTTGCACTAGTGTGATTTTGAAATGCTCTCCAGGCTCCCGCTCCCGTCTCCCATGAACTTCACAAGAGCCAAGGCCAAAGTCGGTGCTCCTTTGCAAACCACAACACCCAAAAGGAGAGAGAAAACAAAAGGGAATGCCCTGCCACAGAGGCAGGGTGGGATGAGGGGATGGGGGTGGGAGGGATACTGGGATTAGTGGTGGTGGGGAATTGGCACTGGTGGAGGGATGGATATTTGATCATTATATAATTGAAACCCAAGCACAAAAATTTGTAAGTCTACAACTGTACCCCATGGTGTTTCACTAATAAAAATTAAAAAAAAAAACACCAAAGTCGGTGCTCCACAGGGGAATAACAGCCCTAACACTTTAGCCTGTTCTGCAGCCAGCCCACGAGAGGGGGTCACCAGCTCAGCACCTGGACAGGAGATGCCCCTCCTGGGCAAGCTCAAGAGACCAGGTTCAAAGTCACATTTATTTATTTATTTATTTGGTTTTAGGGTCACACCCGGCGTTGCTTCTAACTCTACACTCAGGAATTACTCCTGACGGTGCTCGGGGGACCAGATGGGATGCCGAGGATTGAACGTGGGTTCTTAGCATGCCAGCCAAATGCCCTCCCTGATGTACTATTGCTTCGGCCCCTCAAAGTTACATTTGAAAGCAAGGGTTTGAGGCTAGAGAGATAGGACAGCAGGAAGGATGCTTGTTTTGCACCTGAATTTAATTGCTGGTATTCCATAGGGTCCTTGGAGCATCACCAGGAGTAGTTCCTGAGTGCAGAGCCAAGAGTAACCCTGAACATCGCTAGGTATGGCCCCAAAACTAAAGAAAACCAAAAAAGCAGGGTCTCCAAGGATAGTAGAGATAAGGACCAGGAGGATTGCTTCATGGCTGGAAGATGGCCTCACATGCTGGGGGAAAAGGCTGCTGGGATAGAGAAGGGACCACCAAGTAATTAATGCTTGGAGGGCCCGCTTGCCATGGGAGATGCGTGCTGAAAGTGGACTATGGACCGAACATATGGCCACTTCGTGTCTGTGTTACAAATCATAACACCCAAAAGGAGAGAGGGAGTAAAAGGGAATGTGCCTGCCACAGAAGCGGGGGAGGGGTGGGATGGGGGTGATGGGAGGGATACTGGGAACATTGGTGGTAGAGAATGGGCACTGGTGGAGGGATGGGAACTCGATCATTGTATGACTGAAACGTAAGCACAGAAGTTTGTAAGTCTTTAGAAAATAGCACGGTAGCACTGTCTTCCAATTTTTCATCGGTTTGCTCGAGTGGGTACCAATAATGTCTCCATTGTGAGACTTGTTACTGTGTCTGGCATATCGAATACGCCGCAGGGAGCTTGCCAGGCTCTGCTGAGTGGGCGGGATACTCTCGGTAGCTTGCCGGGCACTCCGAGAGAGATGGACGAATCAAACCTGTGTCAGCTGCATGCAAGGCAAACGCCCTACCTGCTGTGCTATCGTTCCAGCCCCTGTAGAAAATAAAAATAAATAAATAAAGGAAACACTACTAAGAAAAAAAATAAGCAGGGGCTCTTGGGGCCAGAGAAATGAATTCTTGGCACCGCATGGCCCCACGAGCACTGCTGGGAGTGACCTTTGAA